TACCGGCTGGGTAACGTTCTGCTCCTTCAGAATATTGATCATCCGTTGAATTTGCTGCTCCGTGTATCGGTCGATATTCTCAGTGTTGTTCTCCGAGTTCGCGTAACTGAAATTCAATTTACATTTTAATGTCTCGTTTCGATGCTTATATATGTATTTATATATATTTATATATATATATATTTATTTATTTATATTTTCTCGTTGGTTTACCTGGTAGTCCAGCCGACCGACAGAGTATATTTCGGATACGTCTTCGCCTGACCGATGAAGAATTTCGCATCGACCGGTATGGTGGTTGCGTTGGTGGGTCCTTCCAGTATATCGGCGTTCAGGAACACGGGGAATGTCAACTGAGAAAAAAAAAAAAAAAGAAAAGAAATTAGTGATCGAGTCGGAATTGAAACGAAACGCTCTTAAATCAAGACGATTCGACGCCTCCTATTTTATAGATAGAACTCGAAATACGTACGCTATCGCGAACTTTGTCCAGGATAGGTTTGCTCGCGTTGAACGCCTCGACGCTCTTGAAGTCGAGTTTTATGCCCTTCTTGATCTCCTTCCTCTCGATCACGGTGTTGANAAATTCTCGAGCGACAGATCGCTCTCGTTCGCCGGTGGATGGGCCATTATCGGTTGTTGAACGCTTGAGTCCTGTCCTGTTACTTTGCCAAACATAACGTCGGCCTCCAGCATCATCACGTTCCCTGTGAAGAGGTAAGAGAGAGAGTTCGTTAGAGAGGGAGAGAGAAAAAGGTGGAGAAAGAAGGAATCCTTAAAACGGAGGGAGGGGGTAGAGGATAGCAGCGGATCCCGAGTAGCGAGGAGTGCAATTGCGTCGCAAAGACGAGCGAGAAGGGGGGAGAGACGCGGCAGTGGCGAGAAAAAGAGATGGAAAATCGGCTCCCGTGGACACGTGCAACGAATATCGATCACGCCTAAACAAGTCACAGAACAACGCGATTCAAACTCTTCTCCCTTCTTCTGTTACGTATTCGAGAGAAGCGTTTAGAAAATAGATCTTAGACGGTCGTTAACCCGTTAAAAAAGTGACTGGTCAACGTTATTCATTTGCAATTATTGTTTCGAACGAAAAAAATTATCGAAGTAATATTGAGTTTTCTTCCAGATTCGATCGATCGAGGATCAAGAAGGATACTCTTCCCGAATGTTAATAATCAATTCGAACGTTTAATTATCAAGGATATTTGTCAAACGGACGAAAACGATTTTATCACGCGATTCGCCTTGGAGAAAATTTTCGCTCTGTTTTATCGATACGGTGTATCGTATCGATGGAACGTGGCGATGCGAGAGAATCGAGAGAAGGGATTAAAAATGGAACAGACTTTGAACGGTTTCGTTCACCAATGGGGTGTTAATAAACGATCGTCGCGAAAACCTTCGGAAAACGATCCTTTCTCTCTCTCTCTCTCTCTCTCGCTTTATTCTATTCTCGCCACTTCGGACGAAAGAAAATTCGAATCGATTCGATCAATTCGAATCTTCCAACTCACCTTCCAACGATTTGTTCAACGTTGCCTTGTCGTTGACTGCGTGGGCCCAAGTGATCTTGGTGAGATTCCCTTTGATTTCGGGGAAGAAGTTAGCCACACTTTCCGTGACGGATGCGCACATGACAGAGTCTGGAACACACGAAACATCTTCCCCTCTTAATATTCCCGATAGATACCCTCCCCTTTGACCCAATAATATTCCCTCCGTAATTGAACCGCGAATTCCTCGGGAACAGGCGAGGCCAGTTCGAGGAGGAGGATTCGGGGAGTTTTGGGTGGTGTGAGAGGAGGGAGGCGGGTTGGATGACGGAGAATCTCGCCCTACTTCGCTCATTGTGCCTCGAGANATGACTATTCGCAGATAGAGCGGCAATATAGTCTACAGCGAAAAGGTTAGGCGAAACTAGTTCGTTTTCGTTGAATCGATAACGTATTGGGATTCGACTCCCAATACGATAATTTCGACTGACCCGTTTCCGGTTGATCGGGCGGGTAGTGTGTGTGTGTATAATAGCCGCAACCACGGGGAGGAGGGAGGGAGGAGAACCGTTCGTTTCCTGCCCGTTTTTCATCGAGCCAAGATGACGCCAATTACGAGCTCCTTTTTTCACGAAAAATTACCTTGTTTACCTTGCCGGCCACGTTCCCTCCAAGAGAGCACGCGCGCGTTAAAAAAAAAAAAGAATGATAATACGCGCGCCGAGAAACGACGGAGGATAAAAAGGAGGATAAAAAGGAAAAAAAGGAGGAGGGAGGGAATATTCTATCGACCGACGTATAAATAATAATACGAGTGGGAGGGCGGGACGTGTCGAGGGAGGAAGCGCGCGAATGTATACATCGCGAATGGCGTTGTTCGCCATTATCGTGGCCGTTCGAGTGGAATCGGTTGAGCGTTCCCCTCGGTGGCGACAATCCAGACCGACTTACTTGAGTCGTCCGAGTCATCGATTCCGAGGTGCGGCGACGGTCGTCGAACCAGCTTTACGAGAGAAGAATCCAACCGAACCATTCTTTCTTTCCTCCATAATGGTTGGTCGCGTTCTTTGAACCTCAGACAGAGGTTTTCGAGACCGGCCCTCCGCCGAACAATCGATCGTCCGTCTCCTACGTGATTTCCACGATCCCTCGTCCTCACGACGTTTCTCTTTCCCCTTTTCGAT